TTACTTGTCCATATGCCACCAAACAGGGTTCCTTGAAGGCAAGCATCTAAGCATTGCTTAACTGTGTAGCTTCAGTGCTTCGTCTGACACAGAGCAGGTCTCAGTAAATGCTTATTCAATAAGTCGAACCCTATGAACCAGTCTGGGCAGAGCCGGATTCTAGTTCTTTAGCACCACAAAGCCTTTTTCCAAGCTGCAGTGTCTCCAGTCTCTTACTGTGGATACTGATGAACAAAGATCACAATTCCTATGACCAGGCTGTTGCCTGTGGAGCTCACTGTCAGAACGAGCAGAAATCGATTCATTATACAATTATGTTCTTGCAACCAAAAGAGAGTTCACAGAATACTTCCTCTCTGAAATACAATGATACAATTTGAAACTATCTGCCACACGATCAGGTAAAACTAGCCTTTCCTAGGCTCGTCAGGTGACCCGTAAAAGCTGCACCCTCAGGTAAGTGATAAAGTTCAGTGACAAAGGCAGATGGGTGGGAAGGAAGAACAGACAGAGGGGAGGAACGACAGCTTTGTGAGTCTTGGATCAATGTCTGAAGGTACAGTCACAGGCAACAGGCAACAATGGCAGAGAAACCCCTGGCATCCTTACAAAATACAAAAGTATCCTTCAGCGAACCAGGGGGGAAAAAGTTTCCTTTCACAGCTCTTCTAAAACAAGTTTGCACTGTATGACACTTTCACTCCTTCGCTAAATATTTGTCCAGTGACCCCCTTGTGCTCAACTTGTTCGTGCTGAACAAGACAAGAGGCCCCACACTCCACCCCCTCCGGGGTTCATTTGCTGATAGAGAAAGCAAACGCAATTAATTATTCAGCTACCTTTTAACATAACCGAGAATATGAGCATTAAGAGAACAAATAGCACAGACTCCATCCCATGCTTTCTTCTGCAGTGAAAATCAATTTCTTACAACTGTCTGCAATAACCGTAGAGGCCTAATTACCACTCCAAGCACACACCCCTTTCAGCTGTTATTCTGAAGAACTGCCAGGTTTCCAACCATAGCTCTCAGATGTTCCTCTAGGGAAGATAAAGAAATTAAACTCACTGGAAAGTAATGTTACCACCAGCTGCCTCTGTAGTAGCCATTTCCCCCCTCACGTCTCTTTGCTCGAAAGACAGGGTCACATCAGGGAATGAAAATCTCTTTTGAGTATTTTGAGTCTCTAACCATTTACGGGATGATCTTCAAATGCTCCTTTGATTCAATAAGCGTTGACAAAGCACTTACTGTCAACGGCAATGGCAATGTGGAATCTTCAGGAGAAAAGATCTCTAGGCAGAATTCATGGGGTCTTTCGATGAAACTGACCCCAGGATCTTTCCTTCGGATCTTTGGGTTTGGGTTTTTTTTTTTCTTTAATAGGAACAGAATACTAGGTTTAAGAAAAAAAAAACTATTTAAAAAAAGGTTAAGGGGGAGACGAACGGGTACTCGCTCTCTAAAGAGAGGACTCATTATGACTAAAATAATAACCAACTCTTTTGTGAACACTGGACACTAAATTGACCTTTGTTTTCCATGATAGGAAATGTGCTGTCAGCCACAGGAACTGAGTCAGATAACAGAAGAGAGAAAAAAGATGGCACAGAAAAATCATATTACAATTTCCTGTAAATCAGACACCTGGCTAGTTGGGAACAGAAATCTAGGAAAAACTGCTTGCAGGAATAATAATCCCCTGTTACCGATGTTGCTCAAATGAAACAACTATTCTTGTGGCACTCACCTAGGATAGACCCTTGTGAGAAAGTTTCCAGCAAATATTTACAATGCAGAACAGATAACAAAAAGGGGCAGGGATGAAGCAAGACAGGAGCTAGCTGAGTTAATAATCTTCTTTGATAAAAGTTGTAAAGTTCTGGCCTAGGGTACAAAAAAGGCGCTGGAACTTCTTTCCACTTACAGCACTAAAACAACTCAGCATCTTGGTGTGCACCAGGTTGGCACAATGTTGCCTACAAGTAGAAGAATATACTGCCTGAATTTCTAAGGGCCCTCAGTTTTTCCAATTCAAGTTAGACCAAATCCAGATTTTTTTTTTGTTATTGATTCATTGCACAAATGTTTACTGGGGGATTAACACATCCAGTTTGCACTTCGCTGTGGTCAGGGGGGGCTGTAAGACAATCCAAGCACACCTAATAGGGTGACACCAAACAATTAATTCCACAAAGAGCACAATTACAGGGAAAGACAGACTCAGGGAGCACTTCTTAGAGAAAAATAGCATTCAAACTGGAATGTGAGCATGATCAAAAGTGGGCAGGGGCATTCCATAACTGGCAACCATAACATTACTCGACGATGTAAAAAAAAAAAAAAGAAAAGAAAAGTCGTGGGGGGGAATAGGAGACAGAGCATGACTAAGGCTAGAGGGGCAGACACAGTGAGTGGCAGAACAAGAAGCTGGTGAGACAAGGACCCATCAGACCAGGAAGACCCATGAAGATCAGGTGATGAGTTTTTTACTTCATTTCAAAAGCAATAGGAAGCAAAGAAATGATAAGGCCAAGATGAGTGTTTTTAAATTTGTTTTTAATTTCATTTCTTTTTTTTTTTTGGTTTGGGCACTATCCCTAGTGGTGCTCAGTGCTCTGGGGTGACTCCTGCTAATGCTCAGGGCCTCCCACAAGCCACGCATGTGCACCGGCCTTCTGAGCTCTCCCCCGATCCAGATGAGTCACTTTTGAAAAGATCATCTATGAATGGGCTGAAGCAATAGCACAGCGGATAGGGCATATGCCTTGCATGCGGCCGACCCAGGTTCGATTCCTCTGTCCCTCTCGGAGAGACTGGCAAGCTACTGAGAGTATCCCACCCACACGGCAAAGCCTGGCAAGCTCCCCGTGACGCATTCCATATACCAAAAACAGTAACAAGTCTCACTATAGAGACGTTACTGGTGCCCGCTTGAGCAAATCGATGAACAACGGGAGGACAGTGCTACAGTGCTACATCTATAGGACTGCAGATGCGGCTCAGTAGCATAGCACTTGCTCTGTGTGTGTGTGTGTGTGTGTGTGTGTGTGTGTGTGTGTGTCCCTGAGATCAAGCCCCAGCATCACACAAAAAAATGAGTAAGTCAGTAAAAGATCACTATGAAAGACGGGGAGGGTTTACGCAAAGAAGCGAAGTAATGGGATGTTTCCTATATTTAATAAAAGAATACTCAGAAACCCAGAGAAAGAAGTGGAAGGGCAAAAGCTAATGTGGGTGAGCAACAATACTAGAGTATAACCCTTAGTATGAAATAAATATCCACGACTTCACACACTGACATTAATGAGTCAGGAACTATACACTGGAGAGGAGACAGAATTCTTAATAGATAATGGCCCTACCCTGCCATCAAAAAGTGGGGGACACAACTCTCCCATCTATTCATCTGGGCTGTACTGGGGCTTCCTTCCCCAAAAAAGTCAACTTTCTAGGGGAAGATGGCAAAACACTACCTGGGTCAGGTGGCCAAAGGCAGCCATGACTGAGAAGTCATGCTCAGAGCAGTACTGGGAAGATCCTGAGCTGAGCACAGCCCTTCTCCGCTGCAGTCTTCCTCCCACACCCACAGCCTCAGTCTCCCAGAAGACATCCCACCAATCCCAATGACCGGATCTCAGGGCCTGAAACTCTCAAGGCTGTCGAACACAGGAGAAGCCTGAGGAAGCATGACAGCCAAGAGGAATCAAGGAGCCCAGCATGACAACTAAGCCAAATGCGGTTTCCTGGATGAGATCCTGGAACAGAAAGTGGGGGGGGGGGGGGGAAGGATGGGGTGAGGCAGGCGGTTGGGAGGATGGAAGGGTCACGAGAGGGGGGTGAAAACCTCTACGGAAACGTCAATCAAGAACGTTGTTTGGGTGAACAACGAGCAGAGGTTCATTCATTGTCACACGCGTCCCTTCCTAACACATCCTACTGATACGCTAAGCTAGTAACAGGGGAAACTGGATGGGGAGTCGGTGGGAACTGCCCCGAATGATGCTGCCTTCACTGTACACCGGCTCGAAAAAAGGAGTCTCAAATGAAAGAAAGTCCGCAGGGCAGAGCCGCGAGCCAGCGAACCACTGCAGACCGAAAACGCTAGCACACAATGGACCTGGTGATTCACGGGCCGGCGGGTGGGGGAAGAGAAACCGGGGAGGTGAAAGTCGCACAGGTAGACAGGATGAAAGGTCACTATGCACGCATTCCGGACCGGGACACCTGGATGGTCAGCTGCGGCCAATCCCTGATAAGGCAAGCCAATGGAGGGGAGGGGAAAAAAAAATCCCAACTTGGACTCGCTGCAGAACCGAGGGGGCGCGCGGAGCCGCTCCCGTTCTCCGCGTCCTGCCGGCCGCACCCGCGGCGCGGAGCGACGGCGCCCGAGGGAGACAGCCCACCCCGGGGACACGGGGGTCCGGGCACCGGCGCGGGGAGGGGGCTGCACGCCTGGTCCGCGCCCCCGCCCGGCCGGCTGCCTTCCACGAACCCCATCCTTCGAGGAAGGCGCTTTTCCCGCCGCGCGGGCTCGGCAGGCACTCCCCCTGCCCCGGGCCTCGGGAGGGGGCCCGGGAGGCTCCAGCGCTCCATCCCTCAACTTGGGCGCGACGGCGGCGGATGGAAAGTTCCTGAAAACCAGGACGATCGGGAGGAGAGAGAGAAAGAGAGAGAGAGAGAGCGAGAGAGAGCGAGAGCGAGAGCGGGCAGGGCGGGCAAGTGCATCGCGCTCGGGAGAAGGACGCGCTCGGCTCCGCGCCCCGCCAGCGAGCGGGCTGCCAAGAGAAAGGCTCCGGGAGAGCGCGAGGCTCGGGGTGGACCCCCCAAAATCCCAGGGCTCGGCAGGACCCCCCCCCACAAGCATCACCCCCGCCCCACCCCCGGGGAGGACCTCCCAGCCCGCCCGGGCCACGCGGCGCAAGGTGACACGGGCAGCGCCGGCCGCCCCGGGGGCCGGGCGAGGCGGGCGAGGGGCGTCCGCGGGGGCCCGCGCTACCTTGTACTTGTCAAAGCCAGCCAGCTGCTCCGGGCTCACGTACTCGTAACCCGCCATGGCGCCCCGCACGCCGAGCGCCCCGCTTCGGCAGCAACTCTCCGCGACGCGGCGTGTGGGGGGAAGCCTGAGCAACTCACGGGCTCAGCAGCCTAGGCGGGGAGGACCGGGTCTGGCAAAGGAGGCAAAAAAAAAAAAAAAGCCGCGCTCCGCCCACCGCGCACGCGTCGCCTCCGCGGCCACTTCCGCCGCTTCCCAGGGCGCAAGCGCAGCCCCCGCTTCTCCCCGCCCATCGAGGGCGGGTGGCTGGCCCGCTCTCGAGGCCCGCCCCCTTCGGCCGTCACGGCCCAATCAACGCGCATCGGGCAACAGTCAGTCCCGCCTCCCTCGGCTCCTCGTCGTTTCATTCGCCAGCGTCAAAATTGGTGAGCTGAGGTAAGGCGGGAGAGGTGAAAGGTCAGCTTCCCAGAGGACTTTGCTCCTCGCCGCGAGTGCGGGGCTTTGGTTAAGTCGAGCCTGAGTCCGGGCAGACATCTGGGGCCGCCCGATTTTTCGATTTGGGGGAAGGGTGGTTGTCTATGAAGCAGTTCAGCAGATTCTCAGGGAAAAAGGGTCTGCTCAAGTCGTGAAGAGTAAGCAGAAAGGGTCCGTCCCCCGGCCCGCCTCCAGTCCCCCCGCGCACAGGTGCGCTGCCGTCTGGGGAGAACTCAGTGGACACGATCCCACGTGGAGAAGCCGGTGGAAAGTTCGGTGGGAGGGTTTTTGCAAAGGGGTGTGGAAGGGCGCTGGGGACAAAGCCCTCAAAAGGACGCGTTGTTCGTGAACCTTGGACCGCCCCGTCACAATGCACCGTCAGTGCAGCTAATTAAGAGTTGCTGCTAAATTCCCCCATTAGGGCACCGGCTCTAGGCTTCAGGGGTCCTTACATGCGACTCTCAGAAGTGCCTGGTCCAGAACAGCGACCATGGTTTAAAAAAAATAAAACTAGCCTGGCTAGTGTGTATCAATCCAAATGAAATTAATAGCAACAGTTGCCACCACTCTGCTGCTTCTCGGCAGTGGATGTTATCAACGAGATGAAGTGGGAAACATTTTCCCACTTTGCTACTTAGGAAATCAAAATTCAGATTTCCTTTCTCCTGTCCAAGATTACATCGTCACACAGTTCAGATAAGGTCAACCCGTTCAGATAAGGTCAACCCGAATGCAATGACTTCTTTGGTAAAAAGTCACTCCTCAGGGGAGTTTCTTATCTTGGTGTCTTTGAAACAAAGGTTACTTTTTGACCACTCGTGTTCTTTACATGCTTTCATTTAACAAATACTTGCTGGGTTTTGTGGAGGAGGGGGTTGCCAAGTATAGTACTTCTCATATGTCTTAATATCCTAGAGTATAAGCATCTATCATACCTGGTATGTAGTAGATGATCAATAAACAAGTGTTATTTCCTTCATTTACCTTAAAGAGAGAATTTGTATCTGAAATATCTGAATCTCCCTCAGGTCCCCTAGCCCTATAACCTGCAAATAATTCATGGTCACTATGTTTTGTTGAATGAATGAGTCAAGATTTCCGATAGGCTGTGAGGAATCCAGTTTTGAAAAAGATACAAAACAAAGAACAGAGCTCCTTCACAGTTGCTGCCCTGCTAGGGTTGTGGCTTAGCAGAAGAGCACATGCCTCATATATGTTACTCTACAAAAAAAAAGAAAGAATGAATTGAGGAGCTGCAACCATAGTACAGCAGGTAAGCCACTTGCCATGCATGTGGCCAACCTGGGTTTGATTCCCAGTACCTCATCTGGTCCCAGAGAACTGCCAGGAGTGATCCCTGAGTGCAGAGGAGGAGTAAGCCCTGAGGTATTGCTGGATGTGGCCCAAAAACCAGACACTAAATTTAAAAAAAGGGCTGGAGAGATAGCACAGTGGGTAGGGCGTTTGCCTTGCACGCGGCCAACCCGGGTTCAATTCCCAGCATCCCACATGGTCCCCTGAGCACCGCCAGGGGTAACTCCTGAGTGCAGAGCCAGGAGTAACCCCTGTGCATTGCCAGGTGTGACCCAAAAAGCAAAATAAATAAATAAATTTAAAGAATTGAGTTATGGCCTAGTTTATTTAAGGTAATGCTGGAATAAGAGGACTGTTTATCAAACTCCCCCCCCCCCCCGCCCTTTCAGGCCACACCAGGTGATGCTCAGGGTTTATTCCTGGATGCTGCACACAAAGGGTCACTTTGTGTGTCTCAGGGAATTATATTAGTTGCTGGAGATCAAACTCAGATCTGCCGCGTGCAAGGCAAATGCGGTACCTGCTGTACTATCAGGTCCCTCTGGTTTGCTTTTTTTGCTGCATTTTACATTTATCTTTTTTAGGGGGTGGGGGCCACACCTGGAAATGCTCAAGCGTTACTCCTGGCTCTGCACTCAGGAATCAATACTGGCAGTGCTCAGGGGACATATGGGATGCCAGAAATCGAATCTGGGTCAGCTGCACGCCTGGAAAAACCCACTGTGCTGTCACTCTGGCCCCACATTTTGTTTTTCAAACATAACCCTACTTGGCAAGAATGTATAAATAAAGAATGTGGTTCATCAGTTGTCTCTATCACAGAAAAACCATCCACGAAGTGCTGAGGTTGATCATAAACTACTGTCATTGCCACCTTCTCCCACCGACTTCCCGTGTTAGTGGGAGAAGGTGGTGGTGCTGCTACTCTGTGTCTAGGAAGCCCAAGGTACTTCAAGGACTTTTTGTGCTCTTAATCTTGGAATACTAGTACTTGGAATACTAATATTAATACTTGGAATACTCTCAGGGGCTGGAGCAATAGCACAGTGGGTCGGGCATTTGCCTTGCATGCGGCCAACCTGGATTCAATTCCCAGCATCCCATATGATCCCCTGAGCACCTCCAGGGGTGATTCCTGAGTGCAGGCCAGGAGTAACCCCTGTGCATTGCCAGATGTGACCCAAAAAAGCAAAAAATAAAAGTGTTATAGATCATTGATCTGAGGGGCCCAGAGGCCCTACGTGATGCAAGCAGGACTAAAATTACAGGTTTGCTCTGGAGAGATTGTACAGCGGGTAGGGGCACTTGCTTTGCTGGGGTTTGGTCTCCAGCATTCCATATGGTTCCCTGAGCACCACTAAAAGTGATCCCTGAATGCAGAGCCAGAGCACCACCAGGTGTGGCCCCCCAAATTATAGGTATAGTTACTTATCTGGATCCACCGTGTACTTGCCATTCTTGTTTGGAAGACTAGTAATTATTTCTGTTACAGTCATTACTTGTGAGCATGAGTGTTAAAAGGATAATTATTTTTTTAATTTCTCTGATGGGGCTGGAAAGATAGTACAGTGGGTAGTGTACACGCTGACCCAGGTTCAATCCCCAGTACCCTATATGGTCCCCCACACCTGGCAGCAGTGATCCCTGAGCACAAAGCCAGGAGTAAGCCCTGAGCACTTTCAGATGTATCCCAAAACAAACAAAAATTGCTCTGAGCACTGAGCAGTGCTTGGGGGCCACCAGGGCGATCCTGGCAGTGCTTTAAGAGGCAAGTGGTACCAAACTATTGGATTTAGGCCTCACTATGTGAAGCATAAACTCTACCACTTCCTTGCACCATATCCCCTACCCATGATGGACCATTTGGTCTTTATGAAATTCTGAGTCCCTGGAGTTGACACATATGGTTACTTCGCTGTGGTGTGATTGGTGCTAACTTTGAAGCCTAAAGACGGTGACAGAAAAGGAAACACTGCTGTGATGTGTTTCCCTGCAGATGCTCCAACGCCAGGCAGGAAATGAGGCAACGCGGCCACAGACATCTCTGCTTTCTAAGCTTCCTGGGCTGCCTTGAAATGCCCATTGAGAGGCCGGAGCGATAGCACATCGGGTAGGGCGTTTGCCTTGCACATGATTGGCCCAGGTTCGATCCCCAGCATCTCATATGGTCCCCCAAGCAGCGCCAGAAGAAATTCCTGAGCATTGCTGGGTGTGACCCAAAAAGAAAAAAAAAAGTGAAATGCCCAACGCAATCGAGCCAGTGCAACCAGCTCTCTACAAGAGGCCAGGGTGGGACTCCACTTTTAAGCAAATAAGACACACATATATAAAACAATGTGTAAAAATAACTACAATCTCCTTCATGTATCCTTGCCGAAGTCTAGTTATGTTCCAAATACAGACACCACAATAGACCTTGAAGCTACAAAGTTGAGTAAAACCTGGAACATGGTGAATTTTGTCTCAATAAACAGGGCAAGGTGGGAGATAGCTCAAAGGACTGGAACAAATGCTTGGCATGCCAGGGACCTGGATTGATTCCTGGCACCACATGGTCTCCCAAACGCCATTAGACCCTGGCAATAATCCCCTGACCCCCCCCCAAAAAAAAAAGGCAAAATGGATTTTTAGCTATCTACTGAAAGGCACAAAATAATGCATACCAATTACTTTTAACCAAAAGTGTATTGCTAACCAAAAGGAATCCAGAGGAATACCACACATTGGTATTTTCAATATATGGGCTTGGACCACGAAAGTGGCTCACTAAGCATGCCCTGGATTCAGTCCCTGGCACCATCAAAAGAAACAATCAATAAATTTTTTTCTGGTTAAGAAGTTTAAACTTTAATACTTTTATTCCCCTTCTTTTTATTTGTGGTGTCAAGGAAAAAGCAAGGGCCTTGCCCTTGTAAGACACAATCCTTGCCCCTAAAATGTAGTACTTTTCTTTTTTTTTTTTGCTTTTTGGGTCACACCTGGCAATGCACAGGGGTTACTCCTGGCTCTACACTCAGGAGTTACTCCTGACGGTGCTCAGGGGACCATGTGGGATGTTGGGAATCGAACCCGGGTCGGCTGCATGCAAGGCAAACGCCCTACCCGCTGTGCTATCTCTCCAGCCCCAAATGTAGTACTTTTATAGCCAGAAGCATTATCAAAAATTATACTGAGCTATACCTGTAGAACCCGAAGTTCTCCAACATAGAACTATAGAGTTCTGCCTTGTTATCAAGTTTGGTTTTTTTTTTGTTTTGTTTTTGTTTTGTTTTGTTTGCTTTTTGGGTCACACCCGGTGATGCACAGGGGTTACTCCTGGCTCTGCACTCAGGAGTTACTCCTGGCGGTGCTCAGGGGACCATATGGGATGCTGGGAATCAAACCTGGGTCGGCCACATGCA